GCTGAGGAAGTGTTATCTGTATGCACAACGATGCTCAGGCCGTCGATAGCGAACGGCGGCAGAAAATCCACTCGCCTGAAGCGCTCAGGATTCCGAAACCAGCCGCCGACAGCCATTTCACACTGGCATTTTGGGTCTTGCCGAATATTCCCATCTTCTGTAGTGCACTCGTCTATATTTTTGACGATAGCGTTGAATTGCACGTCGTCCTCGTTTCTCAACTCTTTGAGAGACTCGCATCGAAATCCAAGCCTTTCTTGCAGCTGTTCAAGGTACCGAATGGCCAGTCCATCGTATCCATGAATCTGAAAGTGAGCTAACATGTGAAGGTTAGCTGTGCAAGTGTCGCTGTCGCAGTGTGAATTCGCGTAGTCCGATTGGAATGAACATGGTTCCTACCTTAGCTTCGTTCCTTACGATTATTGGATTCTCCATGGCGGTGCAGCAGCGAAGATTGACCCCATCGAGATCGCGCTCCATGGCCTCAGTCGCGCAGAGGAACAGGCCGAACAATGCTGTGATGTTGACCATGGATTTGCGAAACATTGTCTTGGAATCCAATTTCGACATAATAGAGTTTCATTGCAGACATTCAACTGCTACGGGATTGCAAGTTGATGCAAACTGTATATATATATACCATGCGGTGCTGCAGAATGTTAGGACGAAAGGCTTTATTTTATAAACAGAATCTGCTTCCTCTTGCGTCGACAGAACAACTGTTCATAGGAAAGGCAATAACAGTGTTTATTCTGTGCGGAAGATTGAGTGAGAGTTTTTTAATCAGAAGACGGACTGCGCTTGCGTCTTGACCAAGGCCCCTGTAATGGGCGGTGTGACGCTTCTTTCCTACAGTACGCCAGTTTCTAAGACGAAAGTTGGTAAGTTCACCGTGAAGTGACTGCCCTCAGGTGGGTCATCATACCGAGGAGTGACGTGGTCTGCAAACTTTTTTCTATGATCGGCTAGTGTCGAAGCTAATAGGAACCTTGTATGCTCGCACCCGTGACCAAGAGATGGAGTAGGCAAAAAATTTCGTCTAAGCAAAGGTACTAGGGGTGGATTCTATGGGCACGAGCACCACGAGACTGTATCCTTTCATCAACGCGGTAACGTATGGTATATTCGTCCTGCATGGTGTCTTCTTCGCAGCAAGGAGCTCTACCTGAAGCATGGGAGCAGAGTTCTTCCGCACCACACCTGAACAGGGCAATATGCCCCTCATGGACAACCTGCAATCCAGCAATGTGGCTATTTGGGCTAATGTATCTCACAGAGCGGTAAATTACTTGTCCGAGGGCTCGGCTCTAGGGATACAAATTCGTCCAGCATGCTTTCAAACGCGACGTCACCATGCAATAGAGATCAGTTTGTATGACAGCAAGGACGCTGGAAGCACGCACCAGGAGGCAACTCCTAAATCTCAACAATCTCGGCTCTTGCGACCAATCCCCTATCTGTGCTTCGGGCGTGTGTCCATAGCGATAAGCACGGGGGGGAAGTGGCTGTAGGCCGTCCTTCCCGCTCTGTTTCGGACGCGTCTCCATAGTGAACGGTTGACGTATGATTATGGACGAAAGGCCAAAACTCTGCGCACTGCTCTGCGGGGATAGTTCTGCCAGCACGGCGCAAATATTATTCATTGCTCGTGCGCATGGCTTCTGCTCGCTTGCACGTGCAGGCCCTGATGCCCTTGAGTGGTTCGGCAATTTTTTTGTTTTTTTCTCGAGTACAACAAAGGCATGGATGGCGACTTTCGAGGCACTTTGCCAGTCTCGGGATTTATTCTTCTTCTCTCCAACAAAATATAACCGCCAACTGCTTACAAGTATAGGGCGCTTCCTTTACGTGGAGGGCATGTTTGCGCGCTAGGTAAGCCTGCAAGGCAAGAAGAAGATTAGGCTGCGTCAGCAAGTTTGAAAAATACAATCGCATTCCTTCTATTTCATTGTGCTGGAAGTCATGGATGCTGTCTCGAGATCCAGACGTCCTTCCCTTGTCATGAGGCCCAGTTGCTGCATATTTGTTGTAGCAAATGGAATGGATGTATCGTTCGATTGAATGTGGAATAAAGACAGTATGAACTTCGGACAGCTTCCAAAACTGAGCCGAGGCTGTGAGTGCGCAGCTCTTTTCTCACAAAACCGAGTCTGATTAATGGGTTTGGCGAAACGGCAACGAGCATTTCAATATGTAAAGGTTTTACAAGTACACCCAGCCGAAAAACGGACTGGCGAGACGACGTGATAAGTACTTGTCGTGTTGTTAAACTATCAAGATGATCCGTCTTCTTCTTTTTTCAAGGGACTTTTTATCTGTTTTTGAGTGAAAACGATAGCAGATATATCACGGTCGGGTCTCAGTTTCTGTTGGCAACTATTTGCAAAACAAACAGCTACAAAAACCTGGAGGCCATGTTCATACTGCCCCATGGAGATTAGGTACTGTGTTGGAAGGAGGAGGAGCTGAGGAAAACGACTAAACTGCTGACACGCCAGCCGGAAGCATGCCGTTCGGCATCACTCGTGGCAGAATACTGTATGTCTCCGCTCTAGTGTCTAGACGACCGGCAATTTGCCTCATATGAGGTCAGGCTTGGCCTCATGTGAGGCCGGGTTTTTTTTTGCAAAAATGTATACATTAAATCGAAATTTTATAAAATCAGTTTAGACACCATTTCTTTAACCAATATTCCCTCGGTAATAGCTTCCTGCAAAACATCGGGATAGTGCTATCCCGATGTTTTGCAGGAAGCTAACTGCTAGCAGTTATGAATACACAGAAATACTAAGAATCTAATATAGTTTCAACAATCGGATGATATCTTAAACAGGCGTTTTGGTTTCGAAGATATCAACAAAAAACGTTTTGATGTTCTCTAAAAAAGCTTCTTCTTTAGGTATTCTCAAAAAGTCTGGAAAGGACGTGCAGATCTCACCAAGCTCCACCCTTCCACAGCGCAGAAGTCAACTGCGGTGGCGAGGGTATCTTTTTCCATTTTGTTCAGCTAGCACAAGTCGAGAAAAATTAAGTTGAAAAGTGACCTCATATGAGGCCATTTGTCACCTAGACACTAGGCCGTTGATGCTCACCTCGACTGCGCTTTCAACGTGGAGCAGATCAGGGAAGCCGCCGTATCTTTCGCAACAGAATCAATGGTGCAACAAAATTCCATTGGTTAAACCGGCCACGTACAACAGACTCGGGGAAAATACGAACGCACGATAGACTATGGTAGACTCCTGCATCGTGAGCATTCTCACTCCGATTTCATGCGCACTCGTCATCGGGGAAACTAATTTTAAATGCGGATTCAGTAGGTCACGAAGGCAGTTACGCGGGAATTGTACAAAGACTCGCTTTATGCGCATTTACTGACCGTGTCCTGATAGTGCAGTTCTCTCAGGAAATTTGTTACCAAAAGCGCATTCATTAAGGTTGTCCGTAAAATAACGCGTTGTGTTTTTCCATTTGCCCACGAAATCGCTGGACGCAAACCCGAGATTAATCAATTCCACCACGAGTTTTGCGGACTGACCTCCAACAAGGTACCTGCCCGCAACAAACGCAAGTCCGGTACATCGTTGTGCCGCCCGACGGATCACGTGCACCTGGGCGAATACTCGCTGAAAGCGAATATTGTTGCTCGCCACAAGGATAGAATGGTTCTGGGGAGTTGACAGAGCGATGTGTTTTGTCTTCGTGAAAGGCTGACGGGGGCCGTTTGGAGAGGACTGCCTTTTAGAAGCTTCTACTTATCTATCTTTCGCGGTTGCTTCGGCGGCATCTGTGGCAGATCTTGTCGCGCTTTGATCCATTGATGAACTCTGCGCAGATGAAGCGATAGGGGCATCCATGACGCATATCGATACGACCCGTGTAGTCTGAGACTCATTTGTGCTGATGAAAAGAACGGAAGACCCACTTTGTTTTCCTTCAAAACGGGTCGATCCGGCACTGCTGTGATGAGGCCGATGTGAAACTCGTGGAAAACTCACATGCCCCGAGTATTCGTTACAGGTATGCTGTGAGTTTTGCCAAGCGCGTTCTTTGAAAAATTTGCGTTCAGAAAATCTCAGCAAACTCACCGCCAAAACACGAGTTTTCGTGACTTTACGGAAAACCTTGTTGAGTCAAATATTTCTAAACTTTGTAAGTTTGTACAAAACGACGAAAATTCGGCAACGATCCTATCATACCTCATACCGCAAAATCGGTATGGTTCCTTACAAGTTGTAAGCGTCGTATTAAATATTAAGGCAGTGACAAGCACCCGGATAACTGCCTTCTCGCCCGCCCACACGGACCTGTTTTCGCATTTAGGGACGGTGCTACTTGCGCCAAATTCGTAAAGATCCTGGGGTAAGGTGATAAAAATTTATACTCGCTGTAAAAAGATCAAGGAGCAAAGGGGAGTCTAATTGCCCTACAATGAATAGATAACATGCTTAGAGCATCTCTACCGGATAAGCTAATGTCGTATTTTGTTTCAAAACGTGGATGAAGATGATTGGCTAGTCCTATTCACGTCAACTATTTCTATCACAATAGATAGAAGAGAACCTGTGTTCTCTGCCCCGAGTATGGATGACACATTCATTCCCCAACCCCCCTCCCCCACACACACAACTCGAATCCATGGATCCGTGACTTGAGTGTGACGACAGCAGTGATGATGATAACATATCGTACTTGATTGCCACAGGCATTCTGCCCGGAACAACACCTATCCGAATGACGCCGCGGCTGGGCTCCGTTGCCAACAAGCAACCGAACAAGCCTCGAAACTTCACCGAAGCTACAAAGCGTTTGCGTCAAGATTACTTTTCTGCGCACCCAAAGTATTCTTCCAAAGACTTTGAAAGACGTTTTCGCATGCCGCGGGACGTCTTAATCGGATCTATCACGCAATTGAGGGTGAAGGTATCTTTGTAGAGCGTACGGATAGACTCTGTCGTAAAGGAATACCCCATTTGCAACGCGTTACTGCTGGGTTGCGCATGCTTGCCTACGGAGTGGCAGCAGATGCGTTGGATGAATATCTACAGATGTCTGAAGATTCGGTGTTGCTCTCGTTGAAGGAGTTTTGCAAATTGGTCGTACATTTGTTTCAAAACGAATACTTAAGGAAGCCAACCGAACAAGATCTCCGCCGAATCATGGCAATCAACGCAGCCCGAGGATTCCCGGGTTGCGTTGGGTGCATAGATTGTCAACATTGGGAATGGGAACGATGCCCTATTGCCTGGGCTGGGCAATATAAGGGAAAGGGTAAAAAGCCGACCATTGTGCTAGAGGCAATAAGTGATGGCGAGGTATGGATATGGCATGCGTTTTTTGGAAGTCCTGGTTCTCTGAATGACATAAGCATTATGGATCATTCGCCTACTATCGATGACATAATTGCTGGAGAGTTTCCTCCATCTTTACCATACTGGGTAAACGGAAACGAGCGAAAGATACTGTACTACCTTGCGGATGGCATCTACCCTAATTGGGCCATATTTGTGAAGACAATAAGTGAGGGCGTAACAAAGAAAGAGACGACTTACGCAGCCGCACAAGAAGCAATGCACAAAGACATTGAGCGGGCTTTTGGTGTCCTGACCGCAAGATTTCACATCTTGAAAAGACCCTCCCGACTTTGGTATCAAGAAGATATTGCCCGTGTTATGAAGGCATGTATTATCATACACAATATGATAGTGGAGTATAGAAGAGACACATACGAAAGTAGTTTGGGATCACTGCAGTTTTTCAAGGAAGCGCTGTCCCTTTTTAACAATGGTGCTCAGTTGAATGGCATTCACGATCTGCCGCCGGCATTTTTGCCAATGGAGCAGTACCGACTGAGACCTGGGCCAGCATGGTAGGCTCAAGAGAGGAAAGAATCACAAACTCAGACGATCACTTTTCTCTTAAGAATGACCTCATAGAACACATCTGGGAAATGCACGGGAATCGATAGTTACACGACGGAGAACTTTATTTTTCTTCCTTTAGAGACTCCGAGCTTGTACTAAACAGGCGCAGAACAGGTTTCCTCCGGATGCTGTTGAGATTCAGGTGCTGTCACCTCAGTGATAGCGGTGTTCTCTGGCAAGTCATCATAAACGGTACGTGCTCGCTTCATTGCCCTCGCAAGATATGTTTGACGTAACGTACGAAAGAAAGTGGCGCTTTCCGGAAGGTTCGCGGCTTCTGGTCGTGACAAAACCGCTATGGCGTTTCGCTCTTCAAGCGTTGTTGATTTACGTTTGGCGGATTCAGCCATAGACCTAATGGCTTGCGTACGCAGCTCTTCCTGGCGAATTAGTTTGGCATTTCTGTTTCCAAGCTTCACACGCTCCTCCCCCTTTGACGGTGTTCCCTTTCCACTTGATAAACTCGATTGTGCGTTTGCTTCAGAGGCATTTGCATATTGGTTCGTTCCATCCACTGACGCTCGCGCATCTGCATTTGTTGAAAGGTCAATCGTGACTTCTTCCGTTGTTCTCGCTTCAACAGCAAACCTCTCCGACCACTTCGGTCTAGACCGTAACACTTTCCATGCTTTGTGACAGTGGCAGTGATCACAGCTGAAATCCTTGTAGTTATAGTCCATGATGTTTGTCTTACCTACATGAATAGCAATGGCCATGGAAATAATATTGTCGTCCGTCACACCTGTCGGTGAACAAGCTTTTACCTTCCGCAAAGAAACTTAAAACTTCTGTACATCTGCAGAGATACTGTCAAAGTGCGCTTTGCAGCTTGCTGCAGTCTTGTTCCCGTAACGTCCGTCTGGTACATTGGCGGGTCCTTTCTCAATGAATCGTCGATGGATTGCTTCCATAAACCTTTTCGACGTTTGGTTCGTTCCGGTGATTGGATCCTCGGACGCAGCCACCCAGGCACGTGCGAGCGCTTCGTTTTCTGCGCTGTCCCAGCTTTTCCCCCTCCCCATTTCATTCACAAACGAACGAGAGGAATGTGTTTGTGTTCAATCAGCCACGGGAACTTTGTTGCGGGTGAAGGTTGGGACTTCGCTGTGGTTTTGATTCTTCGGCAAAACGAGGGCCGGAAGGCGGAAGTAATAGTCACCGGTTCTGGCGGGAACAAGACAACCAATAACAATGCGCAAGTTGTCGCGAAATCCGAATAAAATACCATGCAAATTCTGTCTATTCGGTGCCCGAATAGCTTCAAAACGTCTGGTATTATCCGTGGAAATCTAATCGTTAGGATGGCTACCTCCGCGTAGAGTATCATTTTTTTTCTATGCTTCAAAAAAATAGAATATTCTTTGGGTTAGAGATGCTCTTATTTCCTACTTGGAAAGAGCTGATAGTAGTTTAATCATGTTAATACTGTGCCAAGAAATTGATGTTACTCAAAATTTAACAACATCCATCCCTTTTAATGTGAAAACTCGTCATGTCGTGATTCACAATAAAGTATGAGACACCACCGAAAACTGAGGCGTACAACTTAAAGATACTAATACTGTACTGTGCTATTTTCAGTATTTGGGTGTACGGGCCCCCGAGGGGGTTTTCTACAGAGGAACTACGTCTTTCTCGCTCTTGAATTAACCTACGAAAGTTCGGCCCCCACAGCGGACATATCTGAGCATCGTCTTCGAAGATCGGCCCTAAGCAGTTTATTCCGACTCGAGATCAGCGCAATGTCAATATTTTCATCGCATACGCAGAGCACATAGCCCATCTTTTCTGGTTCCCTTGATGTCCTCCATCATTTCAGACATCTTAGACTGGATGCAACCTTTCAAGACGACTGCAAGGGGTTTTCAGCATCTGCCTTGGTCCATCATATTCTGCAAAAAGTGGGTTTCCCAGTAATATTCAATACCCGGAACAATGCACGTCTCATTCACAAACACGTTGCGGAATGTAAGACCTCCGTGGAACAGCACAGCACGTCTATGGTATTGGGCACGCTTCCCGTACACCTTTTCCGGTCACCGGATCCGTTGTAGCTGCAAAACTATCCGCCTAAGTCGCTTTCAAGTGAGCGACGTGATTCCCTGTTATCGCGAGTGGGCCTCGCAGAGGTGGATGCAGCAAAAAAGCGCGTGCCAGAGCGACTCCAACCAACTTTGCAATGAATTAAAAGTATTCTATGGAGTGCTTCCACCATGCCCTTTGTTCTGGCAGAAAAGACCACCGCTTATGCCGCTTTTCATAGATCGCATGTTGTCGCAGGCTACGTCCTATCGTGGTGAATTTTCACCCAGTTCGCAGGCTAAGCACTGTTCTTCGAGTATCTTTTCCGTCAGGATTTAGATTTTACATGTGGGCACTCGTCGTTTCTTCATACAAGCAAGCACTTGCAAATTGTTCTGCATTAACAAATGTAAAGAGGGAATGTTCTTCTCGTGTGCCTGCCCAGCTGTTGCCTTCGAGCGAGGAGATGTACAGTCCTTTTTACATGTACACGCAGTCACAGTGGCTTTGCGACGATGAGTACGCCCTTACTCAAAGCTAATCGTTACACCACCAATAAAGAGAATACATCGCTTGTTTCACGATATTCAGTCGCTGTGACAGAAGGCATCACTTTAAATTACAGCCGGTGTATTGCAGCTTAAGCAGTAGTGCAGTAGTGCAGTGCGTCATTGATGGCATGAAGTATAAAATCGTCCTTATCATGGTACGCACAATCACGTGCATGCACACGCAGTACATGCTATGTAGCTATCGTCAGGCCTCGATTAGTAGGTATTATCCAGATGAGGAACTTTCAACATTAAGTCTCGGCTTCCATCTTTACACCGCCGTCTGTAAATGCATTTCACAGCAAAAGTCACATGTCCTGGGCGTACAAACCTATGGGCAAATCTACGGGGGCATGCTGTCTGCAATTACCCGTACCAAGCAGTGGAAAGACCAGCTCCCAAATTCTTAGAACCTGACACATTTCAACTGTCTGACGTGCATCTGAACGCTATTTTCGAGAAAACCGCGCCCTCATAAGGCAGTGCATAACCAGCGTTCCCCACCAAACCTAAACAAATCTTTTAAGTACTGTACCCATCATCGGCCTCAGCCGAAGCACGCATGCACGAGTGGTTGGTGCCAACAACAGTTCTCTACCATCTTCCTGCAATAGTTTCTCTTTGTAAATGTTCATCGACGAATACTCCCTCTGCACAATCTCTGCATCTGTATGAACGTATGAACATGTTCTGCTGACTTCGCTAGACTTTGAGGACACATTGTCATCTCAGAGCCATAAGGTTTCACAACGGCTTTGTTCCCTGCTCTAGTATTGCTTGACACTGGACATGAGGTGTGTCACTCACACCAGAGACTAGAACAAAATAAGCTGCGGGTGTCTGATGTTCAGTGATTTGCTTGAAAAGATTGTGATACGCTCAAAAGTCAGGTCGAAATGGCAAATGACCGCTGATGCAAGTCACATCGAGTGGTTTCAGCCGACTAGGCCTGAGGGTACGTGCCCTGGCCGGGAAGGGAGGGTTATCGCAGGAATGTTACTCGTAAGGTAAAGAAAATGCATCGTATGCAAGGGCTGCGTTTCTCAAGATCAGAATTGGGGCATCAGATGGGATACAAATAACACGTAGCAACTATGACAGTGTGAAGTCTAATACTGTACATTTGTATGTGTGTGGCTGTACCCTTCTGTTTTCTACGACACTTTGCCTGTTAGTGTGGTAGAAGGGAGCGCCCCCTGGCCAGGAGACGGGTGGAGAGGGATGTGCAAAGTATATGTAGTAGCGATATCCAACAGTTAGTGACCCTCGTATGACTTGAAAGATGAAAGGAATGGCGAAGTGGAAAGAATGGGTACAGTATATGTGCCGTACGACAGTTTATGACTATTATCTAAAAAATCCATGCGTTTACTACGGACTCCAGCAATCAGGAGTGTTCGCATAAAAACGTCAAGATGGTTTCTAAAACAACTCTTGAAGATCGATATGAAAATATGGTTTCCGGGAAAACGCATGAAAGTGGGTACTTGATACAGCATGATAGGTAGCGACCTGTAGACAGTGTACCTCCGCGCCGGCGGAAATTGAAAGATGATGACTCAACGACCTCTGCCTCCCTCTGTCGAGACGGGGAGGCAAGAGTGTTTATGTAGTAAACGAAGTGCTAACGAGCTAGCCTCGGTAGCACACACAGTAAAACACAACACGACATAACTCCGCTTATGGGTACAGTAGAAACCTTCTTTCCGCAACAGAAGATGTTGCCATTTATGGCAACCAGCATCCACAGACCTTTGAGAGTTTGAAGCTTCGGAAGGCATGGAATGATCACGTGGGTCAGGCAGAGAGCAGTTTTCTTTGTGGACATGCATTCCGCCTGCAACGCACACAACTAAATCTCTACGATACACCCATAAAGCACTGACCAAAATTCGCCTTTCCTCTCAGCAGAGCATGGCTTCCATTTTCGTCCATATCTGTCTGAAAGGTAGTATAAAGTTACGTAGAGACGGAACGTCCAAGACACATGACATATTCGTGTTACACGGGGAGATCAAAAAACCCGCCTATGTATGCTTGATCTCCCCTCTGTAGACTCGTCGCGCAAAGTCTTTGTACCCTTCGGCATCTGTACCAAAATCCGCATTCGTCGCGCAGATGGCATTCCACTCCGTATGACCTGCTCATAGACAAGTCGATTTGAGGAAAACTCCTATTTTGATTGGGGTTGTCCCAGAAAACTGTGATTTACACCTAAGGCATCACCGAGTGGTGTAGATTGCGCACTGCGAAAACCTTACTTAACCTCGCAAGTTTGAGACGGTTTCTTCATACAGTATCCAATTACAAATGCTACTTGTGGGAGAGATGGTTTGATATTGTTTCAATCGTCCCTGTGGGCCAAGCATCGTGACGTGACTTGAATAGACCCTCATGTCCCTGGAGAGTGGTAAAAGCAGAGACTGATGAATTCTTTATTCGGCAGAACAGATGCTGCCTTCAAAGAGCATGATGAAGAATCCCCGTACAAGATTCGCCAATAGGTTCTTTCTTGCTCGACTACTCAAATTTACATGGTTCGTGTTTCATTCATCCATTACGGAAACTCAAATTCGGAAACATTCTGTGGTCTTCCGTCTCGCGAACTACAAACAAGCAAATCTGGCTGAGATTCATAGGCAATACTGCAGACTGAACCTTACTAGTACCGTGCGTTTGGAGAAAATATTTTTATCTCGAGACTTGCAAGGCGACAAGTCTAGGAGAAAAGGGGAAAGAGTTCCATGTATGGTGATTGGAAGAACTTTGAGGGTGATTTGCAGAAAGCCCATGGGTAAATAATTCTAGTCGCTGTGCTTCCTGCTGAGATGGTCTGCAAATGTGTATAAGAAGGCCATTGCTCTTTGGCAAATCTATCAGAACGTTCCTCCATCAATCGGAACTTGCAAGCATCTATTTACTCACCAATTATCCAGACAACCAGAACTCTGGCACCTTTCAACACCACTCCAAAATGAACACTTGGGCTATTTTCCTCATCGGTTTCATGGTTGTCCTCCAAACTTGCACAGGAACTACTCCTACTCCAAGCATTTCGCCCCCTTTGATCAATTGTGCATACACCACCAGAACGCTGACTAGCTCAAGTCTTGTGGGGTCCTGCGAATGTCAATCAGGCTCTGAACAGGTTTCCGCCGGTGCCATTGATATATCTACTCCAGGAGCAACAGGGCGCTTTTTCATCTGCCTTGACAATGCGTGGCGTGATGACTGTGGGCCCATTACCGCTGAGATCGAGAGGGATATCATGGAGAGCTGCTGCAAGGTTGAAGAAGGAACTGTGACGGGATCATCAGGAGCTCTAGAATGTGAGTTTTAAGGAGATACGATGGTGATTGTGCATCAGATCTCTTCCTTTCCCTTGACTAGTGCGTTTACTCTTGTACGCTAGAATGGTGCTTCGGTTTTTTTCTTAAAAAGAGAGTTGCTTCATTTTACATAGAGCTCTAGTAGTGGTTTTGTAGTTATGGTTTTGCGGCTCTCCTTGCAGAACAAACTCGGAACGAGGAAGGAGTGCAGTGGTTTTGTGGTAGACTTTATTTTGACGGGACGAGAATTCACAGTCGATGGCGCAGCAATAGTTCACCGGAAACGAAGGTAGCGGACAGGTTTTTGTGTTCTCGGTCGTCGCAATTTGTGAAATTTCAATTTCCCCCACTGCATTGGTCAGCACTCCCAGGTGATGAGGTGTGCAGTATCGCAGATAGCGTGCGATGAGCAATGATGAAGAAGCCGTACTAGCATGGTGGTATCAGTGACCTCTGCAGCCTTCGCATCTGCTCGTTATAAGAGCAGGTGGAGCTGGATGGGTAATGCATCTCGTCGCGAAGAGTGAAACGCCTACTCCTAGAAATTACGACATCGCCAAATCGTCGTGATTTTGACCCCGTTAAGCTATACAATCGTAGTATGATAAGAGTCCGAAGACCCCTACAACAGTTTCGGATTTCCCATATTGAATCGTCGCTTTTTCAACCAGTCTACTGGAGGCGGAATGAGAATGAGGCAACCAATGGGAGTAGGGCGCGTTTCAGGCGAGAAGCGGTTTTGAATTTATTTACAGTACTCGTCGTCGCGCTGCCTTCATATCATCGCGCCCTTATTACACGTGTAGCTTCCGACATGTACATATAATGCTGTAAGTATTACTATAAGTATGGCGTCTTTATCATACGCATACACGTGTCGCGTGTCGTTTAGTTCATGACACATGTACAACGTGTAGATACGTGTAGACAAAATTCTCTCCTGATCCGCTGCCATAGATGTCGGGAAGCTCCGCTAGTGTCTAGACGACAAGCAATTTGACCTCATATGAGGCCGGGTTTTTTTTTGCAAAAATATATAAATTAAATCGAAACTTTAAAACATTCAGTTTGGACACCATTTCTTTAACGTATACGCGCTCGGCAATAACATCTTGCAAAGCATTGGGATGGCGGTTGTCAATGCACAGTGAGACTAAGAATCTAATGAACTATCAATGATGAGTTGACTTTTTAAACAGGCGTTTTGGTTTCGAAGATATCAACATAAAACGTTTTGAGGTTGGTCAAAAAAGGCTCCTTTTTGGGCATTTTAAAAATGGCTGGAGAAGACGTGCAGATCTCACCAAACTCCACCCTTCCACAACGCAGAAGTCAACTGCCGTGTCGAGAGTATCTTTTTTCCATCTTGTTGAGCTAGCACAAGTCGAGAAATATAAGTTGAAAAGTGACCTCATATGAGGTCATTTGTCACCTAGACACTAGACAGATCGTCGAGCCGAGCATCCTCTCCGGCCCCGACGTGCGTTGCCGCCGCTCTTGGCGCTCACTACAACGTGAGAGGGGCATGGCCGCAAGAGAACTGGCAGTTACCCTTTGATCAAACGCCTGCACTGCGCAACGGTGCAGGCCGCTGTGTGATGCGTTGATCCGCCGAGGACCCTTCCTAGGGAGCTTTCGCGATGCACGGGAGGCTGCTTTCTGCGCACCCGGCGCGTCCAAACTCAATGCCTGCCCCTCGACCGAAAATTTATCCAAAACCCTGTGGCTGCTTTGAGAGTGTGCCTACGATATGAGATGGAAGAATCTCCCGCTTTTTCGGGCGGAGTCAATACGCATTGAGCGTGCAAGATGCTGAAAAAGCGCTCGAAAGCATAATTTATGGATATGGTCGGTCGATACTAGAAAGCCCAGGGCTCTCTATCAGTGTCGTACTGCTACACGCTTTACCGTCGCAATGGATATCTCGTGAACGATTGCCAGTTCTATTGAAGTCATCCAAGAAGCGCACCATGATCAACGAATTCGGCTAACATCCGAAGTCTCCACGTAAGAGTCAAAGAAATATCCGACCTCAATCTCCTGCGTGATCAGCCTTTCCGTGGGGAGCTCCTTGGCTCTGAGCACCCCATTAACATCGTATGCCCAAAAGTGATGGTCGTTATGCGTGGGGTTGTAGTTGCACGCCACCAACCCGCCAACCGTCGCCAAGTAAGTCACCCTGACCTTCATCGCTCCCCGGGATGCTCGGATCGTTGCAAACACCGCCTCTCCCGGCTCGAGCTCCACAGAAGCGCCCGACGTCAGCCCGACCACGATCGTCTGCGACTCCTCGCCGGACTCGCCCCACCCCCTCGAGAACCCGAAGCTCGTCTCGACCCCGCCGCCAGTACCCTGGAACTCCACCTCGTAATTCATCGTCTGCGTGAACGTGAACGACCCAGAGTTGCTCCAGCTCGTGCTCACCGTGTTGCGCACCTCCTGGTTGGCCGAAGCGTCAAACGTCGCCGTCTGCGACGACGTGTTGTTGAACGGCACCTCGGCCACGATCACAGGTTCCACGCTTTGGTCAATCGCCTCGGCGCTGACCGGCCGGATCGTTGTCGTCACTTGTGGCCAACTGTATTTCGTGTACAGGTCGTCCCAAGGGGTCGGGCTGCGCACAAAGGCGTCGTTGGGCTCGCGGCCCGCATAGGCCCCCACAGCGGCTTTGAGGTCGTCACCGGCCAGGCCAAAGGTTCCAAGCTCCGTGTCTGAGATGACGTGCACTTCCGAGCCGTAAGCCGTAGCGGAGCCGGTGCCACCGGCGATGATGTTGACCCCGTTTTCAGAACTTTGGCGCGTGGAGAGCGCCCATGAAGGGGCGGTCGCAGGCTTGGCTACGGTGTCAACGAGTTGGGGCGAAGGACTGGCGAGAGTAAGGACAGTAAGGAGCAGCGGGACCAGGAGCGAGAGAAGTATTCTCGGGGACATGGTGACGGGGTTGGGTAGGGCAGAAGCACTGGATTGCTTGAGTGCGTGGGTTGGTGCGTGGGTTGGAGGTGTGCGCTTGGTTGTGAATGTGATGGATTCTACTTTCTTCCGAAGAACATCTTCTTCTACTGTGCGTCTTTTAAAGGCCGGATGAACTTGTACCTTGTGCTCGGGAAAAGGCAAATGGGACCAAGCCAGGGGTTACAGAGGCACATCACATTCACTCACACGCACACGCACACGCACACGCACATCTAATGTGCACCCTCATGCGAGCACATTGCGGGTGCAGCAAGCCGCCCCCCTTCCGGCAACAACGCTCCGCAATCTGTGGTGGGAACTCTCGGAAGTAGTCTGCCGCCAAATCCCCCACGCGCGCAAAAGAAAAAGAAAAGCGGGGCGCCGATCTTCACTACGACCGGCAACCGCAACAAGTCTGCCACTCGTTTCAAACGCATTGTGGAAACTAAGCAGGGGCGGATAGAAAACCGCACGCGATTCAAAACAGGTTGCTCGTAGAAACGAAAATCGCCCCCTGTCCATTGGCGATATTCATTAGTACGGCGATGACATCGACAAGCCGGAGCTTGCTGCAGTGAGTACTTGCCCTTGCTTTACCTTTCTGCGTTCTGCATCGCCGTCTGTATTGTTGACTCATTTACACACACGCACTTCATGCCCTGGATTATGATACAGAGGACAGCACCATCTGTGGTGGCACAATCCGCGGAGAGTTCGGCGACCGCCGTGGCACCTAGTCGAAGAATGCAACCTTGTATGTCAAACTGCGCAATGCCGCCCATGCGTTGTTACCGAACAGTGCCTCAGCGCGTAGTTCATGAGATGGATAGGTACTGATATGCGAGCGCGCAGGGCGGCCTGCGCGTCCAGAACCGGGCACGGGCCCGGTAGCAGTGTGGTAGAGCGGGTCGGGATAGGTCGCGCGCTCGCACGAGCGGATCGACGCCTCGACGCCCCGGAGCAGCGCTGGGTGACGTACCAGCGCTGACGGGCGGAGGCGGATCCCGGCTCGCTCGCGTGTCGTGCAACCCGACCCGTGCCGGTCCCTAACTAAAAAGGCGTGCGAAGGTGTCGCCTAATTAGAGTCAGCTGGAGGGTTTTGCCGCGGTCGCGGATCGTGACCCCGCCACCTTCGTCCTCTCCCCGCCGGCGCCCTACCTCCTATTTAATATACAAATCGAAGTTATCATACTATAGTACAGTATCGCGTTACTGTACCAGTGCGGGTCGTCCCGCACTGTAATACTGTCAGCCATCGGGCTGACAGCACACGTGTCGTACACGTGTGCTGGCGCACGCGCTGTAAGATATGCGCGCACGCCCGCTGTAAGGTTCGTACCTTACAGCGAGATCTAGATCTAATTGCAAATCTAATGTATACAGTGGTCGTCGGCAATTATGCCACATCGCCCCCCACTTAACGGTGAACGTCCGCGTTCACCCCGGCTTGTAGAGGTGGCCATGTCGATTCCCGTAGCTGTCGAGATCGTACCCGAGGTCGCCAGTACGCCACCCCTTCCATTGGGTTCGAGCCCGGTCCGTCGTCTGCCCATCGCTCCTTTTCCCCTTCGTCGCCTCCTTGTCCCCAGCGACTTCCCGTGTCGCGCCGTATTCCTCTTTTTCTCCCCCGCCCTTCCATCTCCTTGCGTCTTGGTCGGCGCCTCACCTGACGTCGCCCGCCCCTTGTTCTCCGTCCGAATCTCGTCTGGACCGTCGGAGTCCTTCCTCTCGCTGGGCGACTCCGATTCCTACTCGTCGATGTCGGCGCCTCTCCCGAGCCCTTCCGTATCCCCGGGGACGATCCCCTCGTCGAGTATACACGCCGTTCCCCGTAGGGAAGTTACTCCCCGTCAACTAGAGCTGCCGTCGCTCCTGCGAGCCACCTTACCGCCGTTCCAGAAGTCCCGGAGCGCGGGGGACTCGCCACCGTCGATCGAGTTCGTCCCCGCCTCGGCGCCCCCGGCTTCACATGTCGTCGATTCCGCCGTCGCCCGAGGCCTGCCCTCGGCTGGAGAGGAGGACAATGCTGGCAGAAGGTGGTTTGGTTCGCCGTTAGAGCGGTCTGCCCCGCTGCCTGTCGAACGTCTTCGCTTTTCGTGGCGCCGGTGCGCCTGTTCGGGCGTGACTATGAGTGAGCTACTGTCCCACGATCGCCTCCGCCCCGACTTGCTGCGTGTTCGCCGAGTATACGAAGCAGGCGGTGCGGAGGAGGCGTCGCTGATGCTGGGGAGGCTCACCGCGGACGGCGTCGGTGCGGCGTACCAAATCCCCGACGCTATCCACAGCGAGCGGAGCTTCGTGTACAGTGCGAGCGAGGCCGACTACGTGGATCAGATGGCGTCTTATCTGTCGGGACCCGGTCGTGGTGAGCCTCGTCGGTTCGTCCTGGCCGCCGTGCCGGGGCTGTACGTCAGCCCCAGACCCTACGCCTATTCGAAGGCGAGGGCCGCCTTACAAAAATCTGCCTGCTCCCTAATGCGTCTGCACAGGGTTGCCATCTCTCCTCACGATTGGGCGGTGTATCGACGTTCCGACGAGGAAGACGGGCGAGTCTTCCGTGCATCCGCGTTCGAGCGGGGGTTGTCGCCGGGGGATTTTCCGCCACTCCCCGTTGTCGTAAGGGAGGCACTCCCTTCGTTGGGAGTGCATCCTCTTCTCCCTTACCTTCTAAAGCATTTCGGCTTCATTTGCGCCGATCCGCGTCATCCCGCCTATTCAGCCGTCATGTTCAATCTAGAAGGGGAGTGAGCCTGGTCTCTGGGTAATGCCTTCATGACCGAGGTGTCCGTACAAAGCCGTGTCTTCCTGCAACCGCCCGAGGTGTTGGGGTTCTTCGGAAGGGTAGCGGCAGACCTTCCCCTGGTGCCCCTACACCCGCTCGAGCGTAGCACATCGCACGTGTCTTGGGCATGTACGGCGGTGCTGGAGTTGATGCAGCGCGCCGACGAGGTGCCAGAACGACATCGACGTCCATGGACAGATTTCACTACCGGCGACCGTAGTATCTACCTCACTTATCAACTGGCCACCGATGCCTTCGACGCGCGGTCCCTCCCGACGGCGGCCTCCCCTAGTCGTCCTGTACGCGGTGGCGGCGTCGGATCCACCGCGCGAGAGTCGCAGAGGAAGCGCTATCGGGACTTGGATGGTGAGGCAGCCGCGGTTGGGGGAACGGGCACGAACCCCTTTCAGCCCCCTACCGTTAGCAACGGCCTCTATGGCTCCTTGGAGGGGCCTTCCGTCCTCCCGGTTCCGCCCCTTCACCCGCCGGCGGGGGAAGATCCACTGGAGGAGTCGGCGAGTCGTCGTATTATGTCGGCACGCGCCGATGTCAGGGCCTTCCCTGGCTTAGCCCAGGCCTTAGGGACGTCGGCGGATCGTCCGTGGCAAATCGAGGGCCTTCTTCGGACGTTGGCGTCGTGGTATCTGTTGCGTAGCGACGAGGCCCGCCGTCTGGGTACCGAACGCGAATCATACGCCTCCGAATTGCGTCGACTGAAGCACGAGGTGGAGACCTTACGTCAGACCTCCGTGGAGCACGCGAACGCTCTCGAGCGGTCCCAAGTCGAACGGGACCGCTACCGTCGAGAGCGCGATGAGCTCCGTTCTCTCCGTGTCGGTGCTCCATCCGTGCCGCGGCACGCCATGCGCGACCCTTACGAGGAGCAGACGTACGAACCCTCTCGGTCGTACGGGACCGCGCCCTCGGATGCCGCGGCCATTCGTTGGTCTCAGGACGAGGAGGTGGCGATGCCGCCGCTGGCGGACGTCCGGGTGGGGTTGCCTCGGCACCCCCGTTATTGTCCGTCGAAACCCTACGCCTCGAGTCCATCGTCCGCACCGAACGGCCCAGAGCAGTGACCGTGCCACACCGATAGTTTAGCTCCCTTCGTCCGTAAAGCCACTAGGGCATCCTTCGCTGGTGCATTCGTCTTCACACGCTCGTCAGCAGATGCCTCGGTGGACATGTGGCGGGCCCTTTGTTCGACGGATGGTAGCGCAGAGTCACACCTCCACCATCGTCTTCTTCCGTCGTACAGGTCGTTCGCCGGTACGATCCGACGCGCCAACTTGCCCTGTCTCCAATTCCACTCTTCGATCTTCGACGTAAACCCTTGTCGGCGAAGTGGTTCTTTTCGTCGTGTCCATCGATCGCGGGCCCTCTGTCCCCACGCCGATTTCCATTTCCCATTCTCTCCCGTCCTCGTCGTCGGTCGTTGCGATAGTCCTGCCCGAGTTCCCCGTACGCAGCGGTACTAATATCCCGGGAGGCCGCCGTGAGTGGCCCTCTTCGTCCCCGATTATCTTCTCATCCTTCAGCGAGAGAGCGTTGCTGAACGTCACGCCAATCCACTTCGTGTGTATGGGTTCCACGTCCGCCACGCGCGTGTGCTTGATCGATCGTAACGCTCGCTTCTTTTTTTCTGGGAGGGGGCCGTGCCTCTCAATACCGCCGCGCCCTCACCTCCGACGTCTGGTATTCCCCTGTCGTCCAAGGCGGGGTAGCTTTCGCCCGACGAGGCGTTTGGCTATATGCGGAGGAACCTTCTCCCTCCAAAAGGGAGGCGGGGGAGGAGCCGATTCTTCTCGTCGCTTCCATCGGTCGTCCCGTGTTCTCTGTCTCCTTCCTTCCTGACGTCCTTCGGTGCTCATTCTTGGGAAGGGGAGGCGCTGTAGCACGATGACACCATAATTCACTACGACCTTGTTGCCGACTTCTCGCGCGGCGAGGTTACCTGTGACTTTGCTGAGGGCGGGGGTCGTCCCCCGCCGAGCTCCGCGTCCGAGAGCGCCGGTACAGCGTGCCCGCTGTCTTCTTCCCTTAGAATGTCTTGTCGTCGTGTCCGTCGGCCGTTACGCGGTCGTCGACGCTCACGTTCGTAGTTGCCGCCGGTATCGATGCGTCGCGGATGCGAACTACGGGGTGCATCAGCACTGCGACCTGCGATGGGGTTGTCTCCGCTGGTTGGAGACGCGGAGTGTCCCTGTGGCTCGGGGCGCGCGTCTCCGGTGACGGCGGGGACGGCGTCTTGTCGTTGTACGTTTCCGGGTGCGTCGCCATAGCCGTTGTCGAGGTTGCCAGAGTTGGGTCCGCGGGACCTACCGGCGGATGGCGGTTCTTCGCGGTACCGTGGGGGAGCCCCTCGGTGAGCACTCAGAAGGCGTCCGTGCGCCTGTTGCCGCCCCTTTCTCCTCGTGTCGAGAGGGGAGGTCCCTCGTGGTCGAAGTCACAGGGCTTGCTTGAGCTTCTTCGGGTTCTCGCTTGCAGTCCAGTCCGCGCGGCGCCGCATGTTCCCTGTATTCAACGGTTCCGTGGAGGACGTTCGCAGCGCAATGTACGTGTTAGTAGCGTGGGCTGGGTCAGGTCCGCGTTCTCCGGCGCTCCTCGCCGTCGGCGGCGAGATGGGGCCCGAACCCGCGTATAGTCGTCGACACGCAGCGGGTTCAGGGGAGCAAAGCCGGTCGACGACTTGAGTTACGCGCGACGAGATGGCGAGGCGCCCGCTTGGTGAGCGGACGTGTGTACCCTCGGGCGGGTTCTCGCTGTACCCGCCCTTGAACCGCCGCCGTCCGCCTTTCCATGACTTTTCCGGTGGTGTACAGTACCAGCACACGCAATGCACGTGCTGGTGTAATTTCCCTTCCTTGATTTGACGTTATTTTTGGAGGATGGTGGCGGTGGTCATTTCGTGATGACGCCAGCGGTGTTGTTGCGTGACACGCAAACTCCGGCGACGCTCGCGTGTAAATTCCCCTCACCTCTTAATTTCCCTTATTATAG